AGATTTTGTCTAACATGTCAGATGCTGAACAGATGCTGATAGCCAGGCTAGCACCTACTGTGCATGTACACCTACTGAAGCATGGAGGTATTGCCTCAAAGGGACATTGCATTGCTTTCCCACAGGCTGTGCAAGAACCAGCCACTCTTCTTCTACGCCTACCAGCAGAGGTGGATATCATACGCGTGAGAAGACAAGGAAAAGATGGTACCCATAAGGACTTCAGGGTTAGAAGACACCGTGTTGAAGGAGCCCTTTGTTGGCTCAAGGACAACAATCCTGCTTATGGTGATGTTGTTATTGATGGCGCTCGCATAGAGAATTTACCAGACGATCGTGAGTTGCCGAATTTGAGGACTGTTGAGTTCTCTGAAACAGAACGCATTGATGACCAAGGCCCTGCACCACAACAATTGGATGTTGGGGAAACAGACATCACTGATGACTCAATAGTCTCTGGAATTATTCTTCCTGAGCCTGGAGTGAATGTGCAAGCACAAGTAGAAGCAGCCATAAATGAAATTGTTTCTGAACCTCCGGAAGGTGGAGCTGTAGAAGCACAATGAAATGTGCAACGACCAGTGATCCCTTGGCCGACCACGGGCACAACACCAGCATCAGAGTTTACCACCCCCTTGTTTTTTACGATGGCATTTCCTTGCTTGTTTCCCTATGGAAAGGGTGATTTCCACATAAACCAGCCAGTGACATGTCCTTCACTTCATGACTGGGCAGAGCACCTGCTGTGGTACCAAGATGGGAGGTTTGCTAGGCATAAGGTGTGGAAGTTTTTTGTCCACAATATGATCATGAGGAAGCGTGCCCTGGAGCAGAGCTGGTTCTTTATTGATCAGCAACTTGGTGACCCACACATAACTGTTGCAGACCTGCAAGAGCGACTTGCGAGAGGTGACACTTTTACCGACAAGTTGTATTTTGGCGCAAATCTGCGCGGTACAGCTCAGTACTGGCACCAGAGACGCAGAGAGCTTCGTGCCCTTGTGGAGTTCATGGTCAATAAGAAGCGTGGGTTGCCTTCGTTTTTCATGACTGGAAGCTGTGCCGAGTTTTACTTTCCTCCTCATAGAAGGCTACTGGAGGAGTACATCTTGCAGACCAAAGGTGAAGAAGTCAACCTTGCTGAAGATAGCAATGCCCGCTTCAAGGCAGTACAAGAAAATACTCATGTAGTGGTGAGTTACTTTGACCTGCGTACCCAGGCATACCATGAGAAGGTACTGAAGCCGGTATTTGGTGTCTCTGATTATTGGTACCGCTATGAGTTTGCCAAGACCCGCGGTCAAATTCATTGGCACCAACTCAGCTGGAGGGAAGACAGGCAACCACATCAGCTATTGCATGAAGCTCGTGAAGATGGTTGCGAAGAGGAAGAGTATGCAGCTAGACTTAGTCAGTGGGCAGATGAAACCTTTGCCATGACAGCATTACATCCAGCTGGCAATGACGAAGAAGGGCAGCCAAGAAAAAACCTCTGGCCACCACCTGAGGGAACGGCTGAGCCCATATCAGATGATAGGGATCCCTTAGTTAAGCTGCTAATGCAGATCGCTGCAACACAAGATGCAATACTGGAGGATCATTTGCTTTTAGTAAACAGGGTTGGACTCCACAGTTGCTCTGATTACTGCTTGAGAACTCCTCGCCATCCGGAGCAAGGACTGCAGCCGAGAGAACGTGTATGTCGGATGGAGTTTGGAAGCGAGTTCCACCCAGGGAAAAAAGTGCACAGTAATCCGGAAATTGTGGAAGATCATAACGGAGCTCCCCGCCTGGAGATGCCTCGTGACCATCCACGTGTGGTTCAGCATTCTCGTTATCAGTTACAATCACGGAGAGCAAATGGGGATGTAAGCTTGATTCTTTCCAATTCCCCTCCAGACAATCCTAGCACTGATGATATCATAGCGATAATCGACTATGTGTGTGGATATGCTTGCAAAGATAGAGAACCCACTGGTGCAACTTCTGATCTCTTTAAGGACATGGTAAATGCTGTTGATGCAGCTGATGCAGACCAAGTGACAGGCAAGTCAATGTGTGCTAAGATGCTGATAAAGACCGCGGGAAGACGAGATATCAGTGGACCGGAGGCATCCTTTGAACTGAGTGCGCTGGCATTTTGGCGATGTAGCCGTCCATTTACCTACTTGTCAATGTCAGGGTCAAGGAGACTTGAACGTGATGGTGAAACTGCAACTCGCAGCAACCCACTGGATAAGTACCTTGCAAGACCGCAAGATGAACACTGTTCCTGGTACCACTCTGCATCTAAGAACGGTAATGTTCCTGTTGTAAGTGGTGGTTCTACTCACGCAACGTGGCCACTGAATGAAGACTACTGTAGGACCATGCTCCTGTTACACTGGCCAAGCTGGTTTGACATCCAAGAAGTGAAGGGGGATGCAGAATCTTGGATTGATCGCTTTAAGGACTTTTTTGCAAGTGATGACTGTCCAACATTTCTGAAGGCCCAAGTTGCTAAGGCACGGCGTTTTGCAGACCACCCATAAGAACCAGTTTTTGAAGAGGATGAGGAAGATGATGCTGTTGAAGCAGAAGAACAGCCAGACTGGGTGGATGTATATGCAGGGCAGAACCAAATGTATGAGGGTGTAGAGAGGGACTTTGATTATGATGATGGTGGGGAGGACTATGACTGGAGCAGTACCCGTATAATTCTTCCTGAAGGAAAAGACCCAACAAAATGGCTTCAAGAAAGCATTAAAGCGGATGATGAACAGGAGACAGAAAGTACAGACCTTGATTTACCTCAGGTGTGTCTGTTGTCTCTAAATGAGAATCAGAAAGCCATAGTGGGGCTTGTGTTGCACACCCTGTACAACTTTGTTGAAAACACTGGATATTACCTTCCACTGCGGCTTGTTGTCTCTGGAACTGCTGGTACAGGAAAGTCTTATGTCATAAAGTGTCTTCAGAGGTTAGTGCGGTAAGTTTTCGAAGCCAATGATGCAATACAGGTGATAACTCCAACGGGGAATGCTGCCTATCTCGTTCAAGGCAGTACAGCTCACAGCTTTCTAGGAGTACCAACAGGTGGAAGGCCCTGCAATGAGTTGACTGTACCTACAGGTCCCTTACTAGAGAAAATTCAGAAAAAGTGCGAAAATCTGAAAGTTCTGGTTGGGGATGAACGATCAATGTTTGGACGCACAACAATGAGCTGGATGGAACAGCATGCACGTTATGCAATCAACAAAGGAGCCAATGCAGATCAGTTATGGGGAGGGATTCCTGTGGCAGTGTTTATGGGAGATGATGTTCAGCTTCCTCCTGTGTGTGACACCCCTGTGTACATCTCAGATTGTCGTAGTGCACCATCTAACCACAGTCATTTGGTTTGGACAATGTTTGATAGTGCTGTTGAGCTTACTCAGATTATACGGCAGAATGAATCTGAACAACAGCCGAGAGATGTGCTGATGTCACTAAGAAATTATACCACAACACCCCAGCAAGTCCATTGGCTACAACAGTTTCAATGGCACAATCTCCGTATGTCGCACGGGCCAGAACTCCTTGCTAGGATGGATGAGCAAGGTCTGTATGTATTTCCCACGCACCGTCTTGAATGGCAGCGTAATAAAACAAAGCTGCTTGAGTGTAACAGACAGCCAAACCACCCAGTGACAAAGATCAAGGCAGTTCACAATGGCCGACATGCAGTGAAGGCCGACAGTAATAAGGCGGGAGGATTGTTACCTTTACTGTATCTTTCCCGTGACAGAAAAGTCATGCTGGTGGTTAACTTAAAGGCTGATTGGGTTTTGTTCAATGGGGCGGTAGGTACAGTCGTAGACATTGTGTACAAAGATGGCCGCAGACCTACTGATGATCCTGCTCCAGTACCTGATGTGGTTCTGGTGAGGTTTCCAGGATATAGGGGGCCACCGTACATTAATGAAGATCCTACAGTTGTGCCAATTGTACCAGTAAGCCGTTCCACTGATTGCACATGCCCATGCAGGCGTCTGCATGTTCCATTGCGACTGGCATGGGGAACAACAATCCACAAATGCCAAGGGATGACTGTGGGTGCTGGAGAAGCATTCAGGTATGTAGTGGTTCACACCGGGGACCATGGCTTTGAAGCGAGAAACCCAGGAGCTCTATTTGTGGCGTTGTCAAGAGCAAAATCGGCAGGCGGGGAAGGAAGAGATCCTGATTTTGCTTTTCATGAAGATGTATTGATAAACAATGACAGATTCAGACCTGTGGACACTCCAACTACAAGAGCTAGACAGTGGAGATTGAGAGACTACATGTCTTAGCAACTCAGTGTCGGCAGAGAAGGGTGTTAGCACCAGCGTATAGGGAGGAAACCTTTCTCAGACTCGTAGAGTGGGCTCAGTCTCAAGATCATCGTTGAAACATGTGGTCTAAGTGTTGAAAATAATATTGGTTCAGAGGTGAAAGCCTTAGCATGGTGGTGTCTTGTTTGCAGTCATATCAATAAGATAGCGCTAATGCCTATGATGTGATGAATTGTACATATCCAAGCACGGCCAAAAACAGTGCAGTTATGCTGTAATCAGCCTGTGTGGCTGAGGGCCTTTGTGGCCATGCATAACAAATAACAGTGCCGTTATGCTGTAATCAGCCTGTGTGGCTGAGGGCCTTTGTGGCCATGCATAACAAATAACAGTACCGTTATGCTGTAATTAGCCTGTGTGGCTGAGGGCCTTTGTGGCCATGCATAACAAATGAACTGCCCGTTGCTGTAATAAACCTGTGTGGACAAGGGTCTACTATGTGGCCACGCCTAACAATAAAAAGGCTCTTAATTTGAGATTGGCATTAGGGCTTGTATTGAAAGGGATATTACTGCAAAAGCCAGTTTTTCAGCAAAAAAGTAAGTTCTTGGAATTATTTCATTTTAGCAATATTGTTTTGTTAAGTCTCCTTACTTTATTTAACTTACAGTAGAAACCTGCATGTTTGATGAACCTACCTTTGGAATTCAGTGAACTCTCGCCTTGTGGACATCTTGCTATAAGGAACACCCTGATAATATGGACGGCGGCTAAATACCAAGCAAAAATAAATTACAGACGTTTGACTGAAATAAACTTCCGCTATTATGGACTATCACTAATGAAGACACTAACTCAAGCTCCTTATAGTGTCCACTTTATTAAGGAAGTTGACTGTATGGCAAAATAGGTTCTTGTACTTTGAATAGTTATTGGCAATTAATATTTATGCATACTTAGTAAGTTCTGGTTAAATTAGGTCCATTTTTCTCTATGAAAGATATAATATTATGGTCTTTAAGCAGCAGAAAAATACTGTTTTTGCTTCAGTTCTAAAATCCATAAGTCTCTATAGTTTATCATAGTTAAACTATAAACCAATCATAAAAGAGCCTGCTTGATCTTTCTTGGTTTAAAACATGTAGGTTCTTGTATTATTGGTCATTAAAATGGATCATTTCTACTCATAGGTTTTTTAAGTAAACCACTACTTATACATGCTGGTTTTTACTGTACATGTATTTATCAAACTCCATTGCTCTTGGCATTTCCTCAATTACATGCTAATGGCATTTGTTTTCACAATTTTACTGCCAAAGGTAGGCAAAGTTCACATATGCCATGTTACAGTTATGGGCTTAGTATCCTAGCCTTGAGTGAATGCAAAGCTGAGGTTGACCTTTTTTAATACAAACCTGCTTCCTTTTCTTATGGAAATTATGCTTGAAAATACTAGTTAGCATAAAAACAACGTAATTTACATAATGAAGCAGGAAGGGTCGTATGAATACATTACAAGGTCAACTCCAACCTTGTTTTCACCTTTAACTGTAAAATGGACTATTTAAATAAAATTCTAAGCTTCATTTTGTAAAATGGTGAAAGACATATTTTATAATAGTACTACTTACAAAGAGCTTTCACTTGAATAGTCACACCATACAATGTAGGATCTGTCTTCAAAATCAAAAGGTAAATAATTATTAACTATCTTACAATACTACATTGTTCACTTTGCAAGTGAAAGGGTTAATAGCATCCGGACCCAGTCCTTGATTCTATGTGCATCCTGTTGGCTCAGTATTTTTTTCCTTTTTCTTTTGTACTAGTGTATTAGCTAGGTATGGTAAATTTAGAGATAATCAACAAGTTATTGAAGTCAAACATGTGATGATAAAAAAACTATAGAGATAATTGCATAGTTAGACTTAATTAGTACATATATTTCTTCGATAACCACACATGAGCTTCTGAATAGACTGTGCTGAACTGCTGCAGAGATTCCATAAACAATATTTCACATTCATCGTCCTCGACTGCTGATTCCATGAACAACTGTCAGATAAATACTAAACCTTAACTTCTTATCCCAACATAAACAGCTTCAATATAAAATGAAGTCTATGCCTTTGTTCAAAGTGACTGGTGCCAATGGTATTACTGCAAAACAGGCTGGTGCTCCAGGTACGTCATCATCGTTACCAAGATTAATCGAGTATGTATGCTACTATAACAGTTCTTTTAATCATCAGCTTGGAAGCTAGCCAAAAGATTTTCCGTGTTTACGACAGATTCAAAATTATTCAAGGAGCATATACATACTGAAAATGAAAACCTCCATTATAAACTGCATCATTCTTTCCCCAAGACACCCACAACCAAAACTGAAATTGTCAGGCTAATTGACCAGATGCAGTAGAAATTGGAGAATGACCATATGAATGGTTAGATACAGTGAAAAGCTTGCATCTATAACTGTGATGATCTTCATATTCTGCAATTCCAGTATGTCTTGAATAACATACCAGATATAACTTTGTTGTGTGAATTCACCGTGGATAAATTAATCTTTCCTTGCTGGAGATCAGTTTAATTGATAATTGTCACTTTCCAAGTCATTATCGATGGCATTCCATAAGGTTCGATTCTTGGAGTGGTATTGTTCGTGGATTTACAAAAATTAATGATCTTCAACCCTATGGAACTGACAAGTCAACTGTTGAGTTTTATGATGATGGCACAGGTTTAAGCGAGTAATCATCTCTGGCTTACTCTGGAGAGCACTTTATAGAGAGAACATCACCAAGTCATGCAAGAGTGTTATCATCCTTCAAAAGCAAAATGGTTATCAGTATCTCAAAGACTGTCTCTGTCCTGTTCCCATTACATCACAACATCATTGAAAAGCATGTTGATGCCTTTTAATCAGCAGAAACATGCACTTGCAAAATTGAAATATTTTACAGCAATCAACAGCTCAAATAATGGGAGCTGTTCTATAACTTTAGGATGAAATCAATAACATAATATTAGAGCTGAGTTTCTGGCTGCTGACCATCTGAAAAGTAAACATAAACTGAATAGCAACCGATGCAGACATTAGAAAGAAGCAATGTTGAAAAGACTGTTCAAACTATTCATTACTAAAAACATACTGACAACATACCAACAACATTGTCTTAATATATACCAGAGAAGCAATGGGGATAACTCATTAACTGATGGTAATCCTCACAACA